ACAGTCCTACTCGCCGAGTCGGGCTCTCCGACTCGTCGAGTAGGTTACTTAAATCCCGCGTCCAAGAGTCTAGTCTACTCAACGAGTTGGGCCTCCAACTAGCCGAGTCCCAGTGTAAAAATGCAATTACTGTTATTTAAATACGTACCGGGAATCGGATGTTACAAAAAGTTTAAATTTTTCACGAATTTTATGAGTGTTACACACGGCCATTCCAAACATATTTTGAAAAAAGTTCTTTCGAAAGACGAAACTTAATAAAAATACATTAATTTTTAAATATACTTATTCTACACTTTCGGATATAAAGTTATAAATAATATTATCAAAATCAACATTGGAAAACAAATAAGTTAAACTATTGATATACTCAAGAAAATTTTGTACTAAACATCAGCTTTAGAGTAAGTTCATAATTTCAAACAAGAAATTTCTTCTACATCATCTTAGATGTTTCTCTTTTGACAAAACTTCAAAAATGGTCCCTGTGGTTTTCGAAAATATCAAGTTTAGTCCCTAAGTTCAAAAAACCTCACAGATGGTCCCTGTGGTTTCAAAACTTTTAACAAATGGTCCTTTTCGTTAACTCCGTTAGCTTTTGGCCGTTAAGTGGAGGGTATTTATGTCATTTCACTGCCACAGGGACCATTTATGAAGATTTGCCTTATTTTTTTTTTATAAAAAAAAAAGAAAATATATAATTATTTAATATTAAAGAGTCCCCCCCCACACACACACTCTCTCTTTCTCTCTCGTCTTCTTCCTAACCCTTTTGAATAATACAGTCAAATGAACAAATTTACTCCCTCCTTCTTCACTTTAATCTCCTCCACCAAAACCCAAACCAACAACATTACTTTAATCTCATCCCCCCTTCTTCACTTCATCATGTTTAGTTCAAGAAGCATGGAAATTCAACAATGAAAAGAAACCCCTGATAACCCATTTCTTGTTCATAGTCTATGATCACTAAAACATCTAATTGCAGTCATACAACTCTTGTTGATGGTAAATTATGTTTTAATTACAGATTACAGTAAACCCTAACATCAACAAAATCAGTAGTGAAAGTAAGACCCTAACAATCAAATTGGTTAATCAAAACCAAACAAAGATATCAAAGAACCCAAACAAGCAATTCGTTTACTGCTTCGATATCTCATCATCTGCCGCCAACCAGCAAGAATCACAATCCCAAATACAGTCCCCATCAGTATTCCTGAAATCAACCCCAATTTGTATCAAATTCAACTCTCCAAAAACAGAACTACAATCAACAAAACATCTAACCAGCTATAGGTTCAAGCCATAGGGTCGACACTCTCTTTATTCTAACCAAACCTACCGGTGGCTTTACTTCTCCTTTATCCCTCTGTCCTTGATGTCCCGCCATAAAAACTGACCAGGAAAGATCTTCTGAATTAGCGTTCCTTTGTAGTAACCGGAGACACCAGTGCACATGGATTTGAAATTGGAAACAATAACAGGGAAGAGGTTGCTGTAGAGGCTGAGGATGATGTGGCCAACGGGTTCGGTATCACGACAGAGGGCAAGATCTGATCTTAGGGTTCGGGTTTGGAAGTAGCTAGGGCAGATACGAAGTCAATGAATACGTAGTGAGTAATAATGGTGTCAAGTTGTTTTTGTGGTGGTGAGGTTATGGAGAGGGATGGGAGGGAGAGAGCAGTGGTAGTGGTGGAAAGGAAGAGAAGAAAGCGACAGTGGAGGTGGAGTTTGGAGAGAGGGGCCGAAGGAGGATGATAAGGAGATCGGGGTGGTTGTGGTTGAGCACCCAATGGTGACGATGTATTTATTGAGAGAGAGAGAGAGAGAGTGTGTGTGTGTGTGTGTGGGACCCTTTAATATTAAATAATTATATTTTTCCTTTTTTTATAAAAAAAATAAGGCAAATCTTCATATATGGTCCCTGTGGCAGTGAAATGACATAAATACCCTCCACTTAACGGCCAAAAGCTAACGGAGTTAACGAAAAAGACCATTTGTTAAAAGTTTTGAAACCACAGGGACCATCTGTGAGGTTTTTTGAACTTAGGGACTAAACTTGATGTTTTCGAAAACCACAGGGACCATTTTTTGAAGTTTTGTCTTCTCTTTTACTAAATGCCTTCATCATATTTTATTGATTGATATTTATAGTCAGATATCTTACAAATAATAACTTATGTATGCTTCTTGTCAACCTCTACTATCTTACTTTAAACAATTTTTTTTAACGGTGAAATTTTATAAAACTAGCAAGAAGCTAGAAAAGAACCATTACATCAAAGTTGTAGCAGAAATATGATTATGAAGCCAAGAACTCCAACTAATCTTTGCTTTAATGCACCTATTAGAAATCCAAAAAATGACTTATAAACAACATCATCAAAAACTAAAGATTTCCTAGGAGTAGCCGCTCCAAAAATCGAAGAATTTCTGAAATTCCAAATACACCAAAAGCAAGTCAAAACCACTGCATTAAAGACCTTTTGCTGACCTGGTCTCAAGGAGATAGAATTTGACCGCAAGATAAGAGACTCGACAGAAAGCTAAGTCGGAACTTGAAGACCCCACCAAACAGCAATACGTGACCATAAAACAATCAACTCGGCACAACCTGCGAAAATATGGTCAATTGTCTCCACACCGCAGGAACAAACGGGGCAGGTAATCGAGTCCACCATAATACACTTATGAGATAGACGAGTCCACCATAATACACTTATGAGATAGACGCTCTCTAGCATGGATGTTGAGAAGCATGATCCTCCATATAAGAATATTGATCTTAATGGGTATCCAATTGTTCTTATGGGTCTTGGGACCTTATGAGACAAGCATTATACCACACATGTGTACCATACATTTCCAATCTTGTAATTTTATAAACCACTTCATAATATGGTTTGATAAGCATGGTGATTATTTTTTGAATCATGACAAAAGCATGTTGCAATCGAACACATGCTTATCGATAAATTTAGAGGTAACAAAAGATAGAAAAAATATATATAAAAAACATATTGTAAGTGTGTTATATGCCATATTCTTTAATATAAATCATTAATAAATTACAAACTTGGTCTTTAAGCTTGAAATTAAAATAAGTTAGAATGTTGTAAGTCACTTCCTACTTTTAATAATTAAAAACATTAAACATGTAAAAAAGTTGTCGGTTCTTACTGTCACAAAGACAATCTTTCTCACTTGCTTATAAAGTGAATCCAAAAAATTGGCACAAAATGAATTAACTACCATAAGTTCATATTACTATAGTCTTATCCAAATCTTAATGAAATTTGAAACTATTTAGAAAAACTCCACCACATAACAATGTCATATTATGATAACAATGACATGTATACAATATAAAGAGGAAAGAAGGAAAATTAAATGCCTAGAAACATTACACAATGATTTCCGTTTTTGTTCACAATCTAATCGAACATATTCATGACAAATTTTTGGGCTTGGAAAATATTAAAAAAAAAAAAAAAAGATTTTTATTTAGTTGCTATCGTATGTTTGTATTGCCATTTAGTTATAATAAAATTATTTTCAAAGTGAAATCTTTAAGATCTTTGAAACAGTCCGAAAAAGATAATAAAATAATACTATGAATTATGTTTTTCTTCCATGCAAATTGTATTATCTGATTCATTTAACACACGAATTAAAAATAAATTTGGTGCATGTTTGTCTAAGTTTGTAATTGCCGGTACTTGTTTATATTACTTTTGTATGCGATGGTTTATTGGTTTGATAAATAAGTTTGCTATAAAAGTACATTAGAACTGTATAAAGAAAATCATAATTCAGAATTTGCAATGCTATAAAATAGTGACCCGTACTTTTATCTTTTAGTTTAACTTTATTATATGTATTTTCAAATCAACAATTAAGAGTGTTAGACCGGTGGGAGTGGACGCGGTAGAGACCGCACCTCCGGTGCCACCTAGGTCGGAACACCCCTCCTCCTTTATTCTTTATGGGCAAAGCTCTATTTATAGGCTCTAAAAAGCCAGTTACATTATATTGCAATCACATGATTTCAAGACGACAAACTATATTTATATTTTAGACCCTTAGACTATTATGGGTCTTACATACTTTATGTCACATTATATTATTACTAACCGACAAACACTTTATAATTATTACCCCCGCCCCCCCACCGGTTTGGGTGCGGTTAGGGCCGCACTATGGCAGCAGACGGGAGCACTCCTTGGGTGATTGTGATTGGATGACTTTCTTACCCTTTGGAACACAAACAATGAAAAAAAAATTATTAATAAAAAAAAAAACTCAAGTGTGGCACCACTCCTTGGGTGTGATATAAAACCTCATTTTTGTGGTAAAGAATGAGATGGTGTCTACATGGCACCGTGGTTTCATGAGGGAGCGTGACACCACTCTCTCCAGCCTTATAATTGAGTTTTAATCCAAAAAAAAGTCTATGTTATAAACTTATAATTAATATAATAATCCAATTACATAAAATAAAAATTAACTTTTGATAAGCAAATTTTTTATTTGATCATAAAATAATAAGTTTATAATAATATTTTCTATAAGTAAGTTTTATTGATTCTTTAAACCCTCAATTTTGGACTTAAATTGTTAGCCTCCATGCTATGGTCTAAAGAAACATATTAATATATTCTTTTAAATTGAAGTATATATGTTCATTCATCCAGAAAATATTAATTTAAATGTATTTATATAATGCTAAACATAAAATACTTTTAAGTAAATATTTTTAATCAACTTAGAAGTAGAATAGAATATTATATATTTCCAACTGTAATAGCAACCTGTATATCACATATTTTGTAATAATGTTTATTTTAGAGTATGTATTTTGAAACTGTATATGCAAAAATTGTATATAAAATATTTTTTAATAATAAGCTCATTGCTAAATAAAGGACCTATTTATCTAAAAAACAGTTGCCAGAAAAAATAGGCAAAAATGTTTTTTTTTCTTTTTCTTTTAAATTGGATGGAATGATACTTGTAACTTGTGTGATCTGATAGATTCGTTACCCCTATTATAGATTTCATTGCATATAAAACCTCCACTAAACCCCTCACTCCTTTGAAATTAGCTTTACGAAAATGAATCCAACAACGTTAAGCCCTATGCTTCATTCTTTATCGCAGTCCAACAATCCATCCAGGTTTCTAATTCTTTCCTACGCTTGTTCGAATTATTCGTAAATTTTTATTGTGTGGGATTATTGCACAAATCTAGTAGAACTGTAGAAGTAGTGCACAAGATCTGGATATTATGTGACCATTGATAGGAACTTGTATACGCTTTCTTGTTGTTTAGAAATTGAGAACCGTTTGCTTCGATAAATTCATGTCAGTAGTACTTGGATTTTGGCTTTTTCTATTAATTTGATGTGATTTCAATCTGCATTTTCCTTTTTGTGGTTTTGGCGATTTCGGTATTGCCTAGGGTTGACTTGCTTTGGTTGATCAAGTACTACATATTCTGAACTCGAATATGATTCTGTTCTTAGAGTCATTGAGTTTTTTTCGCTTGTCATGACTCACAGTTGTTGATTTCAATAGGCAATAAATACACAAAGGGATTCAACTTTAAGACCTCTAGGTTATATTCCGAGCAAGTTTTAATAAAGTTACAATGATGTGATTGATTTTGCAGTTGTATTACTACTTCTCCACCTGCAATCTTTCTTCTCAAATGGAATTCTTGAAAGTTGTATCACATCAATGACTGGGGATTCTCAATCTCGTACAAGTGTCAAACCTTCAATCAACTATAGATATAATCCTCATGGAGGACCTTTTTTTGACCTTGTGGATGTTACTCGTGAAGATTATGCTCCCAGTTCCCATGATAACAGGAAACAACCTTCTCAAAAAGCTGAATCCAGGTCATCATCCATAGTCAGCACTACTGATCTCATATCAGGAGCTGGACAATTATGGAATTTTGCCACCTCATCTCTTCCCGTTTTACGCCATAGAACATCAACACAGAACAATGATAACCTTCAAAAAGCAAACACATTTTATTATCCAGCAGAAGAAGGGAATGTAATTGCATCTATTCCCTCTGAAACTCAGAATGTCTCGATCAATCTTAAAGCTAAAACTCATGTTTCACCTACAGTAGATGTGCAAAAAGACCTGGATTCTTTACATGTAGCCAAAAAACTCTCTTCTTTTGATTGTTTCAGTGATTCTCACCATTGCTACCACCTTCTGAGATCCTGCAAAGAAAAAAGGATTTCTAGTGTAATGATCTCGAATGAATTCCAAAATGTATATGGATGGATGACTGACATACAGCTTTCAGGAGCAAAGTATAAGAAAAGAACCGATTACTGCTCTAATGCTGTAGAAATAAATGGTGTTGAAACAATCGATCCAGATGATGCTACTAGACTTAATGATGTGACTACATCACATGAAAATACAAACAATATGATCAAAACTAGTGCAAGTGTTATGTCTCTGTGCTCAGATTATCTTCTTCATCCTATAGAAGAGAAAGAGAACGACTTAAGTGAGATCATAGAGGGACAAGATAGTAAATTTGTCAACCATGAAGTTTGTACATCAACATCATATAAACTTGCAAAACAAGAGCATGCTTTTGCTGGAGCATTTGCTGGAATATTTGTTAGCCTGTGTCTGCACCCCATGGATACAGTGAAGACTGTCATTCAGTCATGTCCAACAGATCAAAGATCCATTCCATATATTAGCAAGTCAATTATATCTGAAAGAGGTATTATGCACTGTGTCTGTTACTCTGTTGTTATTGAAGGAATTTCATTAAAACTGATTATAATCTTGTTTTTTTTTAGGTTTATCAGGACTTTATCGCGGAATCACAAGCAATATTGCTTCTTCAGCACCAATTTCTGCAATTTACACTTTCAGTTATGAATCAGTAAAGGGGGCTTTGCTTCCCCTTTTTGCCAAGGTGAAAGGGTTTTCTTCCATATATATTTTAGAATTAGTTTTCTTGATACTTAATTTTACAAATTTCAGGAGCATCAATCATTGGCTCATTGCATAGCTGGAGGTTGTGCAAGTGTTGCCACATCATTTGTTTTTACTCCAAGTGAGCGAATAAAGCAGCAGATGCAAGTCGGCTCACATTATCACAGCTGTTGGTATGAATATGAATATGATCCTATTTTTTACTATAACTTTTGACTTTTCTGGTCAACTAACTGATTTTGTAATTTTGTAATTTCACAGGAATGCTTTTTGGGGGATTGTTGGGAAGGGAGGCTTTTCATCATTATACAATGGATGGGGAGCTGTACTTTGTAGGAATGTTCCTCATTCTATTATCAAGGTTAGATTAGATTAGATATAATCCAACTTAAATTTTTGAGTGTAAAATCTAACAAAGGTTTCATATTTATTGTTTTAGTTCTATACATATGAGAGTTTGAAAAAGCTGATGTCTTTGCATCAAGCACATGCTCAACCAACCACACTATCAACGGTTTGTTTTTTTGATCTTCAAGTTTAGGTGATAGAATGTGATTAGGAATTAGTAATTAGTAATTAATACTCATTGTTTATAGCTATTATGTGGAGGATTAGCTGGATCTACTGCTGCTTTGTTTACAACTCCTTTTGATGTGGTGAAAACAAGATTGCAGACACAGGTTTTTTGTGTTTACTTTTTAACATTTTTCATTTGTGAATAAACAAAAGATTTGAATAAATAAAAGATACTCATATGAATGATTGATTTGAATAAATTTTGTGTAGATACCTGGATCTGTAAACCGTTATCATGGTGTTTTTGACACTCTTAAAGACATAGCCCAACATGAAGGACCCAAGGGTCTATATAGGTAATAATGATATTTAATAAATTCACTTTCAAGAAATAAATTTATTATTTTTTTTTTTTATTTTCTGAAAATGGATGGATGGCATGGAATCAGGGGGTTGACTCCAAGATTGGCCATGTACATGACTCAGGGAGCACTATTTTTTGCATCTTATGAGTCCTTTAAAAGGTTATTTTCTTTGGAAGCTGAACCTAGACCTATTCAGCTCCAATCTTCATCATAAAAACCATGTAGCTAGTTTTTGTTGATTATTGAAGCATTTTTTAGGGGAAACAAATCAATTGATTCTTGTGAAGATGGATGGATGGATGGATATGATTGTTTTGATTCTTTTAGTTTAGGTGTCATATGATATGATATAAGATGTAACATTAGAGTGCAAAATTCATGTAAAGAGAAGGATACTATCATATACTACTAGAGAAGATAAGATGTGTGAGGATTGAGGGAGGAAAGGAAAGGAAACTATTCTTTTTGTAGAATGTCGCTGAAATTAGTTGCCAATTTTTTCAACTGCATAATATATTATATTATTATTATCATTATATAATCTAATCATATGATTCAAATGCTTTCCCACTTGCTACTTCATAGTTCATACATATTGACTAACACAAAAAAAGATGATCCTAAATGACCCCATCAAGTATACGTCAGCCATCTACATTCATAAATCCAAAGATTCATAAGTTCAACATAGTTACAAATACCCCACTTTAATATTCTAAAAAGATAAAACAGATAAGGCAAGAATATATAAAAATGATAAAAATAAAAATAACTTGTACTTGCTTCTACACTTAACTCAATGAAATAATTTGAAAGATTTCAAGCACATGTGACGGTCAAGTAAAGGTGTCAAACTAGACAGTTGTGTTGTAGTTTTTATAGTAAAGGTGTTAAATTAGGCAGTTGTGTTGTAGTTTTTATAGTAAAGGTGTTAAATTAGGCAGTTGTGTTGTAGTTTTTATCTGACACAATACAACGCTTTTTTATATAACACGAAACGATATCATGTTATTTTTAACTTAAACGAAAATAACTTAAGTAAAACATGATTAACACAACAAAAATAACATAAAATAACCACCATTTTATTTAATTCATACTTAATCGTAAAAAACATGACAAACACCGAAACAGATATTAATATCATGTTGAATTTTGAGCACCAACATGATGTCTTGTTTTTTGCACATGACACAAACACACAAATTTCAATTTCATTGGTTTATAATCTAAGTTTTTTTTTCTAATAGAACCATTTACACATGTATCCAACTAAACTTGAAGTCTGGAACCATCAACTTTTGGCTTTAGCTGATGGACACATATCGGTCAACTCCTGATATTGCTAAGCCAAATGTTGGTTCATAATCTAAGTTATTTTAGACATTATAATTGACATTCTACCCTTGGCAAAAATACAGTCTTAGTCGTAATTAGTGCAACTCTAAACATCGTTTAATGCCAAAATGGTTTGACTATTTCTTTTTGTGAACAAATAAGTATCTAGTATTTCGGCCTTGAAATAGAGTTTATGATGTTAAGTTATTACGAATCCTCCAAGGTATTTTCCCCTCTTGATAGATAGATATCATGGCATAAAAACTTGTTTATCTTTTATTGATATGCTTGTTTTGAAGTAAAGTTTCTTGAAATAAAGAACCCACCCACATTTGCAAACTTCCAATATCTTTCTGTTCAACAACAAGGGAATGCACATTCTTTTGTATAACAGACCAACTTATTATTTATCATTCCAGAGATACAAATATTCCTCCATATCTTACTACACCACCTTCATATAACTTACAAAACTAAAACTAAAAATTAAAAAAAAAAAAAATCCTCTTTCCCATGCATTCTTAAATGAACCAACAATATAAACAATTTTGTTTTCCCCCTCAAATTGTTCCTAACAAACTAAACCTATCTAAAGATTATGCAAAATCATTTTAGGCTTCATCATTCATGCACGAGACATTGGAGAAAACGGTGGATTAACTACAAAAGTAGATAAAATTTCATCAACATTCTTACTTGATTTCCCTTTTTGCCCCTCTGCCATAGCCTCCATCAAGTGTTTGACTTCATCCTCAATAAAAACCCTCAAAGAATCACATTTCAAAATCTTCCTCTTCACATCTCCTCCACATGCAACAATGGAAGCTTCTGTTCCATGCAACATAGCAACACATATGGAGAAAGCTTGTAGTGAACTTAACTGTGCATGAAAGTCAACCACATATTGTCCCTCTTCGGTCAACTTCATGGTCAAACCTGGCATCTTCTCTTTACTCCCCTGTATAAAAAAATAACCATTAACCTCATTATAAGTTTTTATATAACTTTTTTAATAAAATAAAATAAAAATAAAAAAAAGTAAAAACCTTTACCTTGAAGAAAATCTCCACATCTGTTTTCACGTGATGATTGCCAAAAACAACAAGGGGACACCCCATGTCCCACCCTCCACAATCACAACCTCCACCCATTCGCCACCTGTCAAGTAACCGGGAGGCCCCACCACGAGCTTCACCTTCGCCACCTGGCAATGGCAAACCATGGTTACCTGAAGGAATCACCACATTAACTCTTGTTGGGGTTGAAGTTTCAACAAGATCATGATTTCTCATATCCCCTTCTTTGTTTTTCAATGGAAACTGTAAAACAATGGCTGCAGTTTCAAGATCCGGATGTAAATCTTTCACAGGCCATGGATTTGAATTTGAAGAATTAATGTTGTTGACTTTTTCTTGGTCAATTTGGGTTTCTTTTGGGCGTGTAAGATCATATAACACAAATTCTGTGAGCATGGAGTTATTGAAAGCTCCTGGATTTATCAATTCTGTACATAAATAACAAGAAACTTGCATCTGAGCCATCATTAAAAACTCTTTACTTCCATTTCTATGATGATGATGATGATCCTTAGATGATCCATGTCCACTGACATTACTTGATCTTCTGTTTTGAGCCATGTGAAAAGTATACACCCAATTAAATCCATCTCCCATATTCCATGTTTTTGCGACCCAAACATCATGTGGATTCTTTACAGAAAACTCAAAATATGGCATCCCATTCTTGTTTCTCACCTTAAGAATCCCACTCAAGTGAGCAGCTGAAGAAGAAGAAGATGATGATAGGATTGAGCTACAAGAATCTTTTTTCTTACCCTCATCGGTGTTTGAGAAATCATTTAGCAATGATTTTCTCAAAGTAGTCTTTCTTGATGATGTTGCTTCATTCGGTTCTTCGATCTTGTGAGACTTTGACTTTGTGAAGGGGTCAAACATCTTTCTGAAAGGACTGAAACGAGTCTTTGACGAGGAAGAAGAATCGGTTTCTGATTTGGTGGGAGATTGGGGGATTGATAATCTTGAAGATAGAGATTTATGTAAAGGGATTGAAATGGAAAGATTCTCCTTGTTGACTGAATTGACTGAATTATTATTAGTATCCTCATCTGAACCACATAAGGAATCAACTATTATCTCAGATGAAAATGGAATATCACTTTTTTCTTGAAACTTCAATCTTCTTTCTCCCTTCACTGATTCTATTCATTTTGCTTGATTCTATGGAGCTTTGATACACAGAACCTCTTCTTGGTGCTTCTTCATCAACTTGTAACCTAATTGAAGGAGCAGTTCTACAGGATGCACTTCGGTATCGATTGAAGGTTATTTCTGTAAATTCCTTGTTTTGACTCAAGGATGATGATACTTCATTTCTCAACTTGGGTTTAGGTTTCTTTCTAACCTTTCTCTTTTCAAGATTTGAATGATGATGATGATGAGGAGAAGGAAGAACAGTCTTGGGACTTGCATCCACTACACAGTACTTTTCAAAATCCAGCTCTAAATCTTGACCCATTTATAATAAGATCTGCAGCCTTTAATCAGTAGAACACAACGGTTAAGTTTATTTAGAAAAATATAAAGAATTAAAAGCAACAAACAGTAAAGAGTTTTGAATATAATAGTGTCATGAAAAGGATTCACGTTTACCCCATCTTTCACGAATCTCATACAGTTAGTTACAGTGATTAATCTTTGATCTCACTAAAAGCAAAAGCAGGAGTTAATTTTCTAACTTGAGAGACAAGTTCAATTCACAGAATATTTGAGCCCTAATTGTTACAAAAATCAAAACAACCACTCAAGATATCTCTTTGAAGCAAAGTATCAAACAGGTGGAGGACATAGTGATAATGATAAAGAAACAAGATGATTAAAAAGTAATATAATTGCAATTATATATACATACGCTTGCATTGCAGGCCAAACAAAGCACCAATGATTGTTGGGAGATCTGGCACTACTACCCCACCACCACCCACCAGATCTTGATAAAGTGAACCCTAAGTATCCGAAAACACAACACAAGTTATAAAATCATAGCTTCCATCAGCTTCAACCTTTTGTGTAAATGCTAATTTGCTTATATTCACTAATTCAGGTAAGGTCTTGAAACAGAAAACCCAACAGATCTTTAGACCGTATTTTCCATTATTCTCCCGATCCTTAAGTTCTTAACACTACACATTTTCACCAACTCAAGAAAGATCTCGAAGAGCAAATCACAATGTAGATAAATTAGGAGCGGGGTGTGATGAGAAAGGGAGCAAACAATACGAACACTAATCAAACAAACAACACAAAAGCAAAAGGTGAACTGTGGAGAGTGAGAGAGGAGAGAGAAAGCATGCCTTGGAGTGAGAGAGCTGCTATTGCTACTAATGATAGGGTTTTCTCTCTCTATGTATAATCTGTATACGTGTAACTGTACGTATATGTATGTATGTATATGATCTACCAGTCTCTCTCATGGTTCCACAATAAGACACAGAGAAGGAGAGACATAGAGCTGCCATGGTTTGTGGTGATGTCTGCTAAAAGCATCTTCTTTCCTTTGACCCATTTTGCAATTCCTTTTTAATTTCGACTAAAAAATCACTTTACTTCCCTTTAAATTGATGGTGTTACAGTTTAACCCCTGTGATTTTACGGAACACTTGAACAATGTTAGATAAAATTTGATTTGAACTATATAAGATTTTTTTCTTACTTATTCTACTTTTATTTATATAATGAAATTAATATTTCTTTCTATTACTTTACATTTATAAAGTACAAATGTAATAAAAATATTATATTGTTATGTAGGAAATATATATTTTGTTTGATTCTTTTCTTTCGTGCTATTGCAAATTTATTATGTCTATAACTATCAATTGTCATACGTGTCTAGTTATTGTTTTTTTGATAAATTTATGTAAATAGTCTCTGTTTTATATAAAGTCATAGGTTTAGTATTTAATTTTTTTTCTTGATAAAGATGGTATATATAGTTTTAATTTCTTGTGTGGTTGGTCCATAACCCATGTAAAATGTATATTCTATTATTTTTATTATCTTTTATCTTTTATTTTTTAAGTTTAATCTATATTAGTCTTAAGTTATATAAATAAACTAACATAAACCTTAACCCCCCCCCCCCCAATTTCCACTTGAACCCTCCATCGCCAAACATACCACACTAACTTGGATTGCCACCATTACCACTTGTGTCGTTGCTATTCCCTTTCTTACTCATTTGTGGATTGTCACCCTTCGTCTTTGTTGACGCTTTTGCTCTCCCGATTAAGACTGAGGTATGGAAACTATGATTTTTGTTTGTAGATAGAAGAGGATAGCGACGCTAGAGGTTTTTCCCCTTCTGCCTCATTTAATTTATCGGGCATCGTTCACACATGTGATGTTATTTTTATTCTTTAATGTTATCTATGATGTGCAATTCAATCTCAAACCTACAAAAAGAATATGGATACAAAGCACATACACACAAAGAGGTGTATTTCTTGGCATTCTCGATCTTTTTTTAGTTTTGATTAATGTTTTGTGTGTTATGTTTTCTTTATTTCTCTCACCAATATATGGGTGAATTATTTGTTTGTTGTGCATATCTATATGCATTTTGACATTGATTGGTTGTGCATATTTAAATGACTTTGTATCTATTATTATTTTAAGTTTTTTGTGTGCACATTGTGTTATGTGTTCTTTGATTTATATGGAATTAGTCAACTAAATTGGTTAATATATTGTGCATGGGGCGCGGAGTGAGGGGCAAAGTGAGCAGCTGCACAAGACCCAATTTTTTTGGGGACCATTTTTTTTTATTATGTTATATATGTATTTATATATTTATTTAAAAATAAAAAACTTATAATAGCGATAATGGCCATTTTTTCCTGGCTCGTCCAGGACATTTGAGAATATTTAAATCCTCAAGACTGACCCTGATATTGTGAGTGTGAGCATCCTAGGTTGATATTGCATCGTGTCTTTTGGTTATGGGAATGGGAGGTGCGGCGACGATGGTGATGACATGTGTATGGTGGTGGCAAGTGGACAATAGAAGAATGAAGTGAAAAAAAATATTGTGCAAGTCTATGGGTATAGTGGAGCTCTTTCTAATTTATGAATAATATAAGGACTACTTAAATAAGTAAAAGATACACAATAATAAAAAGGGTAGAAAATATATTTTAGATAGGTCGGTGACCAACTATGCAAATAATTGAAACTATAAAGACCATCTTCGTCAAGAAAAAAAATGTAGTGCTTGGCTTTGTGATTTTTATAAATCATAAGGTTCATTTATGTAATTTTGTGTTGATTTTTAAAATGAGATAAAATTTCCTATCGATTTGTTAAAGTAACTTCCAATATAAAGTATAAACGCACTACTTTGGTAATTATCATGTTTCTTCGACGAAAATAAAAAAAAATAATGAGATGTTCTTAAAAGGGAACATGCATAACATGAGTATAAGATGACCAACTTAGCGATTTCGATAGACAAAACTGTCTATGTAGACTTTGTGCATGGAAGAATTATTTGGGGTTAAAGGTTCCATTTTATTTATTATTGTTATAAAGTTAATATGTTTGTGCTTTGAAATATTTATGTGCCTTTTCCAAATAATATTTTACAGACAAATAGTTTTGTGTTTTACATAAACTGCATGTTATATCGGTTTGTTTTAAGGTTTAGATCGTTATTTGGAAATAAACCATCGTGTTTGTTTCTAATTGGCAACAAACATTTTATATTTTAAAAAAGTAATCGTTTTTTTATGCATTTGGTCTAAACATTTTAAGAATTCATCTCAAATTTAATTTAATTTATAAATTATTTTTCATAATTTTTAAGTACTTCTTATTAAAAAAATTGCACTATTTAAACCAGTTCACAGGACTTTTTAGTTTTAGATATGGTTAGAAATATTTGTTAAAGAAAATTAGGTTGGATATTTTTAAAACTTATTTACACTTTAATACAGGTTAAAAATATTATTAGATGTTATAAAAAAGTATATATATAGATATATATATATATATATATATATAAAATAAAGTATATGAAACGTTTTAAGAATATTATAAAAAAGTTTTAAAATAGTTGTATAAAAATGTAAAAAAAAAATTGCTAAAACAATTTAATTTTTTTTTGAAAGTATATAAAAAACTTGTAAAATATTAAGAAAAAAAATCTTAATAGATGTTGTAAAAAGTTATAAAAAAAGGTCTTTAAAATGTTTTAAGAAAACAAATTTGTAAATTAAACTAAATTTGAGATGAATTCGTAAATGTTCAAACCAAATTTATAACAAAAGTTAAAATTTTAGGCCGAAAATATAAGTTTAAAAAGAAAATATGATCTATTTTTTTTTTCTAAACGACGAGTTAGTATTATTAACTTACAGGCACACACAATAAATTCTTTACAAATAAATTCGTTACAAATAACAATCTAAACCTTTTTTTTATTAGTTCTAGTTTTGCAGGTTTTATTATTAACTACAAAAATTGAGCGACTGAATTCAAAATAACAACTCAAGTGAACGATTATAATCCATAATTATGCTTCTATTTTTTACGTTTTGTAAGTTCAACCGTACTTAGTCATTATTGTGTTAAGTATAATATTATAATACTTATCCAATTAATAGACAATTGTTTGATTGGAGATCAATTGATCATCTTCAAACCTTGAGGGGTTTCGTGAATGTTACCAAATGAGAGGAATCACTTGTAAGATTTGTAAAATTTGCTTCATGCATAATCTAAAAATCAGTTTCACTTAAAGTTATTTTTTAATGAATATGAATATATAAACAATATAAGATATATATGGAATTTAAGATTATTTCTTAAAATAAAAAGAGTAAGAACTCCAACATACATATATTTTATAGGCACTATCATACCAATATGAGATATACTAACAAATAAAATATATACTTAAGAAACTTTTATTTTAACAGATATATAATTAACATTAAAATCATATATTATAAATATATTAATTAAATAAACACTAAACATTTACAATGAAATTGTAAATGTATTCTTTTAATTTGTTAGCAACGTATGATATAAAATTTGAAACGTCAATCTATTAAAAATGCCTTCTTTCTTATGTATAATCTATTTAAAATAAAACAAAACAAACTTTTGAATCTATATAAATATTTTACAATCACCAATAATATAATGAAAGAAAAAATTTGGATCGAAACTTGATATGCTTTGTTTTAAACAAAGGGCCTATAAGATAATGTGTAACCACACTACCACAGTACACGTCTCAATAACTAATATAGAATATACTCATTACCAATATCTATTATTATATTTTGTTGGGAATTGCGTGTAATTAAAAGCACAGATATTTTTAATTAAATATTGGACAAGATTTGAGCATTAATTGTGGCGCCAAAAATTATAGATTCTATATATGAATTTAAACATGGTGCATGCAATTTGAACGAGTTATGATTAACTTATAAAAGTTATAATTTGATT